CACTTACTAGCAACAAAAGAAGATTGGGATGAAAAAGCTTCTTCAGCACCACGTCGTCATCATTTGGATCATCACCGTCAGTCAGGAGTGTTATCTCCTCCTCACTTATCTGTCAGATCACTTATCCCAGTTAACTGTGAAAGTGAACTGTCGTATGATGAGGAAAGCGTATCAAATTAATCATCATCCAGAATACTTCAGAACTTTACAAAAGGGTTGCCTATGATAAAAAAATGTACCTTGATAAGGTCTGCCTGGTGCCATATGCTCATTATCTCCTTCGAGCAGCTTCTTCTGAAGGCCACAAGGGCAGTCTGAGATTTGGGTCATAAGAGAGTATGCTACCAGACTTATTGGCAATGGCCATTGCAGCAAGCTGTGCAGACCTACATGGTTCTTCAATCAAACTAATTGAACCACAGTGAAAGATGCTTGCCTGCATTAAATAAATAACTTAATCAAACTAATATTAGCACATCTTCTACTCAATCCTTAAATGTGGGCTACCGAAATCTCACCTTCTTAATAAGGTCTATATCAAGTTCCGACTCACGAAGAAGCATGTCAGCACTAGGATTACGGAAGAACATGAATTCACGCTCACCATCGGCTCTGAGAGTAACAAATGCCAGTGTAGTCCTTGCAAAGGGATCAAACCGCACACCAGAATTATTAATTTTGTTCTCTTTTAATATGTCAGCAAGCATATGCCCGAACGCATCCTCGCTCACCTAAGAGATAAATGCCCTTGTTTCTTTAAACCTTTAACATAAATCGTGTAATGTAGCAATTGACAATGTACTTATTCCAAATAAAGAATAGGAGTCAGTGGCAATGTAATGTAAAGCTTTCTACCGTGTTGAAAGGAAAATCAAAAGATAAAAAATGAATTCATGGATATTTGAGAGAGAGAGAGAGGGTCAGAACGTCAAAGCTATGAGACGAAGAGCTTAATAATCATAGGCCACATGCTAATATGGTCGAAAGTGTTACATTATCAAATCAAATGTCTAAGCAACAAGTATGTCTACTGTCCATACGTTATTTTCTTAATGCTTATGGCGTGTTTGGTAGAAAAAGTACTGTTACACCTACATGGTTCTTAAGAAGTTTCTTTTAATTTTCACACCTTAAAAGCATCAGACAACACTTCATCCTAAGGTAACTCTAGGTTTGTTTAAACGGGGGTTTTAAGTAAGAAACAACATGCTTTCACCAATTCAGTTTTTTTTTTTTTTTTTTTTTTCACCCTTAAAACATTAAGAACAACATAAACGAAATACCAAGTATATATTAATATAATGCACCACACAAATTTCTTTCAACAAAACATAAAAATGAAAACTAAGCATTAAAAAATGATGAATAAAAACACGCAGAAGTGCATATCTTGCTGCAAAAGAACATATTTTTAGGGAACATTGGTTGTTATGACAAGATAATTCTTAAAGAGGACAAGGTGAAGGGAAAAATGTACCTTGCCAATAAAAGCAGAGGACCCTCCCAGCTTTGCTATACAAACAGCAACGTTAGCCGGAGCACCACCTGGGGCCTTTTTGAAAGCAGGAGCTTCAGTAAGTGAAACTCCACCAATGGTTGGGACGAAATCTATCAACATTTCTCCAAAGCAAATGACAAGAGAGCTATTATCTACCGATCCTCCATTTGTATTCAGGGAGAGAGTTTGGAAATCAACTACGCCGAATAGACGAATTCGGTCAAATAATAAAATAAGCAACTAGATCATCTTCTCTTCTTATGGCATGTTACGATGATCTGTATAGTTTTAATGTAAAAATAAATTAAAATCCTATCAGCTGCCCTTCCAGTGTGTATCTAGCACTGCGTACCAAAATATTCTTGGATATACCTGGAACTGCATTTAAAGGATTGATATTCCAAATTTATAATCAAGAATGACTTAAAAATTGCCTGAGAAATTCATGTTTCTGAAGTTAAAAATTCTCTGTCTCTGAAAGTGCAAAAATTTGAAGTACCAGAGGCCTTATAGTCTTTTTCAATAATTGATTCATCGGGAACACCAGGTAAATATTCAAGAAAATAAATCCAGAGAATTTCTATTAGTTTAATAATTAGTGATCAAGTTCAACAAATTCATTCCATGACAGGCCTCCAACACTAGAAGGAAAATGACAAAGATCATTTCTTAACTACATAGTATTTAAGTAGAATACATAAAAATGCATTCAATAAAAAAATAATAAGATATCCCAACACCAAGAAAACTTAAAATAATTATGCCATGATTGAATTAAGATCTAAGGAGGTACACCCACATGTGAATTACACAAAAAGATCATCCAAGAAAGCTGTGATCTTTATCAAGATTCAAAGATCTAATAACTACACAAAAAATTCACTGTACTTCGATACACATGAAATTAAGAAACAGAAGTAGATGTTATTAGGAAATGAAGAACCTGCAATGGAATTTTCAGCCATGCTGTTATAAGTTTTAATACAATAATCAGCAGTTCTTCGAAGATAAATGTGAGCTTGTGGCCAAGAAAATTACTCAGAGAACACGGAGTAGAAAGAGAAAGAGGGAGGGAGGAAAGGAGTGACAGGTGGGTGGTTTGATTTAAAGAATGAGAAAACGACAAGAGGAAGGAGAATGAATTTCGGAGATGCAGTGGCGGCGGTGAGGCGGAGACGTGGATCGGTGAAATTGTTCACGGTATGTGTTATGTGGATTTTGTCTTGATTTATTCTGCCCTCTCAGAATCTCTCTTTCCACCGAAATGTTATGATATTAACCCATGCAAATGAACGGTCTAATTATCTTAGTGGCTGGTTTTTTTTTTTTTTTAATAAAAAAATTTCCTTATCAATCTTTATATGTTTAGAGATGTAAATGGAATGAAATGGAAAAAATTAACTTTCAAAAAGAAGAAATAAGTATATAAATCGAAAAATATTTAATAAATATATATATATATATATATATATGTTATCGCATGTGAAAAGTGTGCACACTCTTTCTTTCTGAACTCGAAAATAGTAGGAAAGTAGTTGATACATTGAATTAAATAATACATAAAAACAGTTTACGAGTAACTTTTGGTTGTGTCATAAAATAATTGTTCTAGTACGGTTATTAATTCTAGTTATATGTGTAAGTAAAATGTGATTTGATTAGCCCCCAGGGCACATCTCCAAATGGTAAAAGGGGAGGGTGGAGAAATCCAGCTTTACTTGAGGCTGCTGCGTCAAGAGTTCGAATCCTGAAATATGGATTTGGCTCTTGAGTAAGTGCAAGTGTACAAGCAGCCTTTCACCCTGTACCCTTGGAGGCATAACCTGCGATTTATCTCCCTCACGATGCTCCAGGGCAGGGGTGGTGAGGGACCCTTAAGGTTAGGGTTTAACCTTTTTTTTTTTTAAATGTGATTTGATTAAAAAAATACATTTTAATAATCTTTTAATTAATTTTTAATTTAACATTTTTGTCGATTTGAAACAAAACGCTTGATACAGAAATAAGAAATTTTCCATAACAATTTACAATTTATTTTTGAAGTAAAAAAGGATCGAATTAGGACTAATCATTCCATTTTCACAATTTTTTGTAAATATTAGTTTAGTTCAATCTTTAAGAAACCTATACCGAATGACTTGGTGTTCATCTTATCTCTAGTTCATAACGTCGCTTCTACTAGCTCTAAAGATTTTTGTGTAAAAGTCTGAATATTTCAAGTTTTTAATATAAACGTATTATTTTGGACTAGTTAACTTCTTTTATCTTTTTATCCAGAAAATTGTGGATCTCTTGCTTACTTTTTTTGACTTTTCTACACATCAAAGTATCGTGTCTCTTAAGAGTACATCTTAGCTAACTCTCGTCCAATTTTTATTATACATGAATTTGATACAGCACGTCGTTAGTAGTAACGTTCCAAGAAAATTTATATAAAAGTTTAATAAATTTTTACTTTACCTCAATCTTCTTCTATTATTAAAATTTGAGACCAACTACAAAAATACGAAACAAAGTTGAAAAGGACAAAGTATAAAAACTCAAATTTCCAATTTCAATATAATTAAACAGTTACATCCTATCATACTATGAAGGAATAAGTGACATCAGAAATGCTCTTCCCCTGCCAACAGCAGCCTTCAAATAATTATTAATTGCCTAATATAATATCAGTAGATGAATTTGCATGTCAAAATTCACTAATTCATCTATAAGAATATCATATTTGACTAATTCTGTCAATTTTTTATTCTGTACGTAAATTCAAATTTTTTTCCACTTTTAACCGCATATTCTCCTAAAAGATCACTATTCAAAACTTTACTTTCTTTTTTTAAATAATGATCGTCAAACGTGGCTTAGGACATTAGAATATTACCTTAAGTTGAATGACATCAAGTAAGGCCAGATTTATTTGGTATAGAGCAATCACTTTGGAGGAGGATCTCTTGTGCGCAGAAGTATACAGGCGGTGGGGGAACCTGTAATTCAGTTGAGGCATAATCCGCGATTTACCCCCTCCAAGGTTCTAGGGGCAAGGATCTTGGGGGTCCAGGATTTAGTCTAGTGTAAACTGAGATAACTGGATATAAAAAATAAATAAAATAAAATAAAAAATAAAAAGAGAGAGAGAGAGAGAATATATTTCATATGTCTTTATTAAGTTATAGGGCCCATTGAAAACTTATAAAAAAGCAATTTATTTTTTAAATAGTATTTGTGTCTAAATTTATAGCCTTTCTTTATCAGGTTTATATAGAGTTTCGCATGCTTTCTTCTAAGGAAAGTTGGAATTGCAGCTTCCGTCTTTAACCATCGGCATGAGCGCTCATTAACATCTGTCGTTACTAAAGAACGTATCTTTTTAGATTAAAGACACGACGAAATTTGAATATAATCATCCATAAATGGAACATCAAACATTATTATGAAGAATATCAAAATATAACATGTTCGATTTATCGTATTAGTATAGCTTTATCGAAATGTTATGAAAAATATCGAAACATATACTGTCAAAACATTTATAGATGCTCACAAAAAGACCGATAAAGTTCATAATATTACAATCACTTCTAATAAAACAAAAATGTAAAAAATTATTTATTTATTTCTTTTGGAAAAATTACAAAGATTTTATAAAATTCTTGAGAACACCGATAAATCATATATCCCGTAACCATGATATCCTCCTTCGCAGAATTCGTCCATGACCCTCAAACCCTTCTCTTTCAGTACCTTGGCGAGCTCAATTTGACGGTCAAACAGTGGATCTCCCTCAGATCCCGTGATCAAGATCTTCCACCCCTGCTCCTTGATTTTTTCGAAAACCTCTGATTTCATTCCCGCAATTGGATTACAATACTCGTGATCACGATCAACACCTACTGGCAATGCCAGTTCCCACATTATATCAGTCGCACACGGTGGAATCACCTTACTATTGAGTAGCCTTAATTCTGACGAAGTCCTCTCTGTCCCACCAAAGAACGGTTGTTGCAATATCAACCCTCTGATCTTCACCGGATTGAGATCATCAATACATCCAACTGCACGTAGGCCAACATGATAGGCTATGTTCCCACCCGCACTACATCCCATGAGATAACACTTCGAGAAATCAGCATATTTTGTTAGCCACTCATCACTGGTGGTTTTGAACCACTGCAAGGCTTCCATGCAGTCTTCATAGGCTGCCGGAAGGCGGTGTTCCGGGGCAAGACGATACTCCTGCGACACTACCACTGCCGGTATTTCATTCGCCACTTTGTTGCAAAATTCATGGAACACGGTAGTGGCGGCACTGAGCAGGACTAACCCACCACCGTGGTAGTACACTATAACCGGCAGTTTTTCGACCTGTTTAGAATCGAATACTTTACGAGAAAGGAATACACGGACCCAAGTTTTGTTTGATTCATTAACAGGGATGTCCTTGGATAGAACTGGACTAGAATCACTAGGATTAGAACAAGCAGGAGTGTTTGTAGAAACTTCAAATATACGTGTGATAGACCCATCGGGGTTTCTGGCCATGCCTATATAACCATATGGATCAACAGTAGGGTCAATTGGATTCGACATGGTACAGGGGTGATGCTGTTGACTTGCTGTGGATGAAGATTTCAAAGTTTTCTTGATTATAAGTGAAGAAGCCCTGTTTTATAGACTGGAGCGTGAGAATATTCTATTATTGCCTTTGATTGATCCATAAGCCATGCTGATAAAGGATTATAATATAATAAATTACCAATGTTTATAATAATGTTTTCCATCAATCACCCTCCATATATGTCAATTAGCAAAAATTTAACGGACCCTAATGCTTTGATATCCCATTTCATTTTAGTCTAACTCTAAGTCTAATAGTTGTGGTCAAGCTTATCAGGCCAAACAAAAGGAAATGATAATGTCCACTATGAATTGTCTTCACATGGTTTATCCTCACCACTAACTCGCCATCCGTACTTTAAACCATTTGAAGTCATCTTGAAGCAAACTCCATAGAATCGTGTGCGCGCGAGAGAGGGCGTTAAGAGATAGGGGTGGCAAAAGGTTCGAGTAGCTCGTCGAAGCTCAACTCATAGATGAAACGAGCTCGAGCCGAGCGGGGGACTAGTTCAGCGAGGTGAGCCTCAGGCCCACGAGGCACGAGCTTAAAGTTCACTTTTGCAAAGTCTGATGTAGCCTAAAAAGACGTTAAGACTAATTCTTGATGTTTGCCTTGACAAAAGAAGAACATAAAAACAAAAGAAAAAAAATTGTTGAGTTATTGATTTGTCTCAAGTTAAATTTTTATTTGAAACCAGGTTTAATTAATTTTAGTCGTATAGAAACTGTAGCAAATAAATTATAGCAAGAAAGCTGTGATCTTGATAGAGATTCAAAGACAAACAACTACACAAAAAATTTACCGTACTTCGATATACATGAAATTAAGAAACAGAAGTTAAAAACTGATGTACCTGAAATGAGATTTTCGGCCATGTGGATATACAATAATCAGAAGTTCTTCAAAGAAGTGTGAGCTTGGGGCCAAGAAAATTAAACAGAGAACACAGAGCAGAGAGCAGAGAGAGAAAGATGGAGGGAGGGACAGGTCGGTGGTTCGATTAAAGAATGAGAAAACGAGACAATTTTATCGAATCTCGGAGTTGCGGTGGGGACTGTGAGACGGAGACTTGGATCCGTGAAATTGTCTACAGCGCGACTTGTTCTCATATTATCCTTCTTTCCACCGAAATGTGGTTTTCAAATTGTAAATGGAACAATTATTATTTGAAAAGAAAAAATTATTATATTAACGGAGAATCGAAATTGGGGAAAAAAAGTTATCTCATTAAATATTATATGTTGTCGGACGTTTTTAAGAGGGTGTTTTACGCCCTTTTTCTTAAAAAATAATAATAATAATAATAAATTAGAATAGTAGATTGATAGAGAATGTGTGGATGAAAAATAAGAAACAAATTTAATTTACGTGTAATATTATTTTAATAAAAATATGTTGTTGAAAAGAAAAGAAAGAAAAATGCATGTTGAGAAAAATGGGAATCAAACAGGACCTAAACTTGAAAATGATAGTAAGCTCCTGTTTGGCCTTCATTACATTTCAGTTTTCTCTCTCCTATTTGAAATCACACAATCTTTCATAAAATAATATTACACGTAAATCGAAAATTTTTACTTCTTTTTCAATCACTCATTTTTCGAAAAAAAAAATCATTGGGCCAAAAGGGGCTAAATTAGCCCCAGTTTTGACCCCCATTTTCTAGAAATGAAAATGGGCGGAATAAAAAAATTGGAAAATTAGTGGTTGAAAAAGAATGAAAAGTTTTCGATTTACGTGTAATATTATTTTATAAAAAATTGTGTGGTTAAAAATAGGAAAGAGAAAAATAGAATGTAATGTAATGTAATGAAATTTAATGGAGGTCAAACGAGGGCTTAAAGTGTTATCTGGTACATTGAATTAAATAGTACATAAATTTATTTATGTGTTTTTATTTAATCATGTTTAATTTTGTTCAATCCAAATACACTGTTAAGAACAAAATGCAGATCATTCTATGCAACTGCTATCAAGTAGAAAAAGAAAGAAAAGTTGGATGTGATAAGGTTTGCATTTATTTATCTGTAACAATCAGATCTTGATCAAAATCAAATTGAATCAATCGATTCAATTCTGTTTTGATTAACATTGATTAATTGGGTTGGAGATCTTAAAATCAAGAACTTAATTACTCTAGTACGGTTATTAATTCTAGCTATGTAACTAAAATGTGATTTGTTTAAAAATAATTTTTTATAATCTCTGTATTAATTTGTAATTTACATGATAAAAATTAGTTTAGCTCAATCCTTGAGAAACCTATACAAAACACTGTGTGCTAATCTTACATCCAATGCATAATATCACATCCACTAGCCCCTTTGGGGCATAACCAAGTGGTGTAAAAGATAGGAGTGAGATTATCTCACACTTTCCTGACAATCGCACTGTGGGGGGTTCGATTCTTAAGATATGGAATTGGATTCCTTGTAGGCACAGTGTACAGACAGGTCTTGTTCCTCGGCTTGCTGTGATACATACAGCGATTTACGTCCCTCACAAAACTCTAGGGACGGGACGGGGGGGGCCCTCAAGGTTGGGGTTTAACCTTTTTTTTTTTTTTTTTTTTTTTTTTATCACATCCACTAGCTCTAAAGATTTTCCTATCAAAGTTGGAATATTTCAAGTTTTTATAAACATTTTATCTTGGACTTGATAACTACTTTTATCAATTATTTTATTTTATTTTTTTTAAATTGTGGATCACTTGCTCATTTTTCAATACCTCTACACATCAAAGTATCGTGTCGCTTAAGAGTATATCTTCGCTAAGCCTCATCCACTTTTTATAATACGTGAATTTGATATAGCACATCGTTCATAGTGCCATTCCAAGAAATCGTAAATAAAGATTTAATATAGTTATATGTTACTTCGATTTTCCTCTATTATTCAAATTTGAGCCTAACTATGCAAATACAGACAAAGTTGAAAGGAACAACACAAAAAAACCCAAATTTCCAACTTCTTTCTCTAATTTAAGAATAGATTATTTTCCCATTAGCATCAAGACAAGTTTTTAGTGCGTGCTACGTAACATTTGTCTGTATCAGATTTAGACATCAATCAAACTGTGTGTGGTTGATATGAAATCTATCAAAATCAGGTTTCACGGGGTGCTTTTTTTCTTGGCACAGAGAGGGACACCGTGCGGCAGTAGTCTAATTTGCTAGACTACCTTCCGCCTTTTCTCGATCGTGTCGGAACGAAAGAAAAATTTGATTACAGTTTTGTAGAAAGCTTACAACAGAGAATTTGAATACATTGAAAGTAAATTAAATATTGATCGATGAAAACTGAAAATTACAATTGACGAAAGCAGAAAATTACAATTGCTGGTACAGGGGGCAGAAACCAGTGAGCTTGAAAGATTTTTGAATGACTAACACCCCCTATAATAGCATTCGGAACAAAAACCTAAGTGACAGGAGTAGACGTTTAAAAGACGAGGAATCATACTAAATGTTTACTAATATCAGAGATATTTTACAACTGAAATAACTATTACAATGAAAAGAAAATTACAACTCAAACTTGAACTAATATTTACAATGTGCGGCCGAAGTTGGGCAAACTACGATTGCGATAGTGTCAAGGGGCTAAGTAAAGCTGTGGTCCTTGACACTCTCCCATTTGTTTTGGCGACGTCCTCGGTGTCATCAATGCATGATATGCTTCAATTAATGGTTTGAAGGCTCCAAGATCTTTTTCTCTTTCCTAAATATTCTCTTCGCTGCTGCATCCAATCCATTTGACCAAGTACTCCTGATGATCTTTTCTAGAAGCTCGAGTGATTCGGTGGTCAAGAATAGTTTCAGAGACTTTCTTTCCAGCTTTCTTCAGTTCAAACACAGGTCGCTTTAACTCATTTCTATATACGTCCTCCTTATCTACAAAGTATGGTTTCAGCACACTAACATGAAGGAGCTTGTGGGTTTTACACCATAAAGAAGTTCAACTCTATATACAATTCTTCCAATCCTCTTCATGATGGATAATGGTCCAATGTATTTTGGCGTCAGTTTTGAGTCCTTCCCTCTTGTTGGTTTGTAAACATTTATGTCGGGAAATTTAACCATTACCAGATTTCCAACATTGAATTCAATGAAATGACACTTTAGATCTGTAGCCTTTTTATACCATTTTTGAGCTTTCTCAAAATAACTCCAAGCAATTTCAATATTTCGTTTCCACTCTTGAGAAAGGTTCTTTGTTTGAGGGGACTTGGTACTTCGTTCGGTATCCACTGTATGAGGGAGTAGCGATTACTGGCCAGTAACAATCTCAAAATGACTCTTATTGGTGGAAGAGCTCTTTTAGGCATTGAATCAAATCTGAGCCGCATCCAAAAGTTTTACCCAGTTTTTCTGCGAAGTAGAGATAAAGTGCCGAAAATATTCTTCTAGCATAGAATTGAAGCGCTCCGTCTGTCCGTTAGATTGTGGGTGAAAACTAGAACTCATGCTCAAAGTTGAACCAAGAAGTTTGAACAACTCAGTCTAAAATATGCCAGTGAAACGAGGATCTCGATCACTGATGATATCCCTAGACAGTCCCCAGTATTTGACAATATGTTTGAAGAAGAGTTGAGCTGTCTCTTCCACAAATACATACTTAGACGCTGCAACGAAAGTTACGTATTTTGATAGACGGTTCACCACGACGATGATAGTGCAAAATCCTTAACTTTTGACAACTCAATAATGTAGTCTATCGATACACTTTCGAATGGCCGGGTTGGGATGGAAAGGGCCTCCAGCAAGCCCATCTTTTTCTGATGATCTGCCTTATCTTGCTAACAAATAAGACAGATTTTTACATAGGTTGCAATGTCATCCGGCATTTGAGGCCAGTAGTATACACGTTGCAGTAGTTCACAAGTGCGTTCCTCTCCGAGATGCCCTGCCCAAATCGTGTCATGGCATTTTGTAATTAGTGATTTCCTCAAATCTCCGCCCTTAGAAACATATAAGCGGTCTCCCTTTGTCTTCACTAGTTCCCCATCGAGCCAGAACTGTCGAGTTTTACCCTGCTTGATGAGGTCGACCAAATATTGAGTAGCTGGGTCCTTCTTCATAGGTGCCCGAATTTGGTCTCTTGTATTCGTGGTGACGGCGCTCCCTGAAAGAGCAGTTACGGAGCAAATGGCAGCCAAATCGGTCCATCGACTAAGAGTATCAGCAACATGATTACTAGATTCGGGACGATGCTCTAGCATAAAATTGAACTCTGAAAGAAATTCCTGCTAACGAGCCTGCTTGCTCGATAGTTTTGGTTGGGACATGAAGTCACTAACTGCAGTTTTATCTGTCTTCACAATAAATGGAGACCCAAGCAAATAGTGATGTCATCCTCTGAGACAATGGACTACTGCCAACAATTCATTTTCATGTGCCGAGTAACGACGTTCTGTTTGGTTTAACTTCCGGTTCTCATATGCTACCGGATGTCCTTCTTGCACGAGGACTCCACCAAGTGCAAAATCTGAAGCATCTATATGAACTTCAAATGTTTTAGTCATATCTGGTAAGGCTAAAATCGGGTTTGTCCATATAGACTTCTTCAACCTTTCAAAAGCAGTTTGACATTGGGACGACCAAACCCAATCCTTATCCTTTTTTGTCAATTTGGCAAGTGGCAGTGCAATTTCTGAGTAGCCTTTTACAAATTTTCGATAGTAATTGCATAACCCAAGAAATGAACGTACATCATATACGGTTTTTGGTGGTTGTCAATCTTTGATGGCTGTAATCTTGTTCGAATCCATGCAGATTTTACCTTGTTCAATGATGTGACCCAAGAAACTGATAGATGTCTGAGCAAATGACCATTTAGATGATTTGGCATAGAGTTCATTCTCTTATAGCCGCTTAAAAACTTGCCTCACATGTTGGACATGTTCCTCCAATGTCTTGCTGTAGATTACTATGTCGTCCAAATACACCACGACAAAATCATCTAAGAACCCGTGAAATACCTGATTTATCATAGTACAAAATGTTGCTGGAGCTTTTCACTTTAAATTCGAAGGCTCCATATCTGGTTACCACCGTAGTCTTTGGTTCGTCTCCCTCCTTGATCCGAACTTGCCAGTATCTGGACCTAAGATCAATTTTAGTGTA